TCTTGTAAAAGATAAATTTGATGCAAAAGGCTTGATTCTTTTTTTTAATCTTTAAGATCTATAAAACATTTTTTGTAAGTATACGTATAAACGAAATGTATGTGTAGAAAACAATTTTAATCGAAAGTTTAATGTCCAATGCACACAGTTACTTGTTACATGTTACATTTTACTTACCTTGCGCCCTCCTCTTAATGAGACAAAGGGCTGGCCTAGGTGTACTTCAACGAGTCATCTTGTATATACATGTATATTGAAATAAAGATGATTTTAACCCCCCTACCTGGATTGCAAACACCTCGTATCCCCGGCTGGTCGCAACGTCTCCACACTTCCTGATGGCGTCCGAACGTAATCGGTAATTAGTTCCGCCCAGGATAGGGCCTGGACCATCCTGTATCGAAATGGCACGTGACGCACCATCCCGCCAACACCCCAGTCTGGTAGTTAGTGTTTGGTCTGGAAGCGGCAAATGTATGTATAGTTTGATACAGGAATTTTGATATAGCAAATTCTTAGTCAATGTATCCTATGTTCTACCAAGGCCACAGCGAGTAATTTTCATGGATGACACCAGCGCGCGCATTAATTTTCACCTGATTTGGGGAAAAAAACAAGAAATTCTATTGGCCTCTAACAGTGGTTAACATATGCCAAAAATGGGCAAAGATGTCTGTCACCATGGCGGAACGTGAATGTTAGATACATATGAAGAGAGAAGACAAGACAGGGTTCTGATTGAATGGTTTGCCTTTTACTTTCAAGCAGTGATGAATTACATTCATGTATTATGTGATGGTGGCTGTGTATGTGATCTTCCCACACAATCAAAACACTGTGTAAAGTGATTGAAAACTTGTATTTTTTTAAGTTGTTTCATTGAGATAGAAATGAATGTTGTGATAGCTGGCAATAAACGTAACACAATATTGGCATCATCTCTTGTTTAATAACATTTATAATTTGAAAATTTGCAAATGTAGCAAATGTTTTTTTGGGGGGGCTCGCCTTGTTTCGCCCTATCGCATTAGATTTGGAGTCTGTGGAGGATGTCATCCATAAAATTTACTTGCTGTGGCCCAACCTGGTAAAACTATTTTCAGATGTACACACATGTAATAATAATATTGTAAAACTAAAACTATTGTTAGAAAACCCTATTTATTTGAAAGACACAGCATCAAGTCTAGTTGTCTTATAGCCTAGTGAATTATGAAGGAACTGTAGAGGCAATATTTGCAAGCAAATACAACATATCTCAATCCATCTCCCCCCTGGACAGTTCTAATTTCATGCAAGTCATTTGATAATGCCATGAGCGACCTACAAGCAAAACCGTGAAAATCGGCAATAGGAAATAGGCAACCTTTGTTATATTGACACATAATGCTTCACAATAGCACATGTCAGTCAGTATTTTATACTTTGGGCTTTTAAACCTGCAGAAACAAGTCCCAAGATAAGTCCTTCATTTTAAGGGTGGTACCCTAAAAAAAATCAGCCCAGGGCCCTTAAAATAACTATTTCCAGTCAGAATTTTGGGACTTGCTATTAGGTTTAATATAAATTGGGACAGTGAGGTTTGAACTCACTATTTAGGTGCACGACTAGAATATTGACTTTGAAAAATCGGGTTTCCAAGCCCCAAAATCTGCACTGGATGCCTTTAATCAAATTCTCGACAAAGGTAAGGCCATGTTGATTTGATTATATGGATGACATCCGCGCGCGCATAAATTTTCGGCCAAATTTTCAACCATACTGTAAATCGTACAAAACAGTTGCAAAATGAGCAAATATATGCCGTAAATAATTGAACAAGAAAACATTGGAAAACCATACCAATGTCGTAGAATACCAATATCAAACAAAAGAGACGAAAATGTGAAGAAATGAATTTGAAGACTAGATTATTCGCCAAACCATACCTTGTGTCATTTGTTCAACCTTCAAAACCACGTAGATTTTATAATGTCTGACAGCAACTTATTTTTTTGGCCAAACTTTTTTTATTCGCACGCTCGCATCAGTTTTGGGGTTCTCAGGGGATGTCATCCATATAATCAAATCAACATGGCCTAATGATGAGTCCTCACCATCAGTTGGCACAGTCCTGACAGTACTGCCCAGACTGTAGACCACAGGCACTCGGATAAACTCCACCCAGGTCTGTACAACAGACACAGAGACATGGTCTCTTCCTGTCACGTTCATCACTACCTGAAACTACAGATACAGGTTTTATCAGCACAGGCACACGATGATACAAATAGAGGTAAGCGGTTAATACTTCTTCAGCACAGGCACACGATGATACAAATAGAGGAAAGCGGTTAATACTTCTTCAGCACAGGCACACGATGATACAAATAGAGGTAAGCGGTTAATACTTCTTCAGCACAGGCACACGATGATACAAATAGAGGTAAGCGGTTAATACTTCTTCAGCACAGGCACACGATGATACAAATAGAGGTAAGCGGTTAATACTTCTTCAGCACAGGCACACGATGATACAAATAGAGGTAAGCGGTTAATACTTCTTCAGCACAGGCACACGATGATACAAATAGAGGTAAGCGGTTAATACTTCTTCAGCACAGGCACACGATGATACAAATAGAGGTAAGCAGTTAATACTCCTGGGTGCTATTTGTAAACTAAAACTTACAACATATAACAAGTAAAATCTGAGATCTTATACCTCCTGGCTTTTTATTGTATATTTCATATAGGTTTTAAACAAAGAATTTATCGAGACCGGACACCCCTCTGTGTGAGGGGTCATATACGTGGACCAGACCGAGAATATCTTAAACACGCCAAAGGTCAACGGTTGCGACCACTTTCACACTCAATGGGGTGTTTTCGGGCCACCAAAAGACACCATTTTCACGCCCGAAAACACATATACAACTAGAAAGGCCAATATTTGCTTTGGAGCAAATACAGCGATGGGTTCACCACATTTTACGACATGGCAGGGAAAGAATGGGAAACACAAGGGAAAACAATGATTTACATTGATATAACTATAATATGAAATAAAATACAACTAAAACAACAGTTGGATAGCTATTCCCTACTTTATTGGTTAGGATTTTTAATTGCATAATGCAAACTGTTGATTTTCAAAATAAAAAAAACGTCCATGCCCGGCATTCCAATGCTGGAGCAGGAAAGCTTGAAATACCTACCAAAACACTTGAATACAGACATACTGTCAGTATGGAAATGCTTCTGTGCAGGTGTTAATCAAGTTAAATCCCAACAGCCAATCAGCAAGAAGTATAGAGGAAAGCTGCATGCCTATTGGTTGATGCCCTGCATTCCATTCTGATGACTCATGCCCAAACGTGGTAAACAAGGCAGACTAACACAGTAATACATTTGCTATAACACAGCCAAAAAACTCAAATAAAACCATTCTAAAAGCCTGTATCACAATAATTTAAAAAACGCCTAGGGGTATTTGCCCACTGTACCTCCATACCAAATTTCAGGACCTTAGGCCCTAAAATGAAGAAGCTGAATCCATTTAAAGATATGGCAGGAGGAGGAGGAGAAGGAGAAGAAACATCAGAAAAAGCAATATGGTTTCACCACACCACGAAGTGGTGTGGTGAAACCATAATAAAAACAAAAGAACGTGCATCATTTGCAGCCAAATAGCAAAACATATACCTAGTCTCAAAAGAATCCGTCCAACCAAACGCGAGAAACAGCTGCGAACATGAAAATCTAAATCTCTCACAAAACCCTTCCGCGGAAGGATGTCTCCTCCCCCGGAGGGGGTAAAACTGCGTTTGTCAGAACCAAGGACAGGATACTAGTAGTTGTAACAAAATAGAACACAAACAAAGAAAGAAGTAGCACCAAGGACAGGGCAGTTGTAACAAGATACAACAGAAACAAAGAGCGAAGGAGCAAAGACAGAACAAAGATAGAGGGACTAATCAGCACCAAGGACAGGATGGTTGTAACAAATTACAACCTAACCCAAGACACTGACCGTCTTTGTTGCACACATAATTTATATACCCACTGGGTTTTGTGCAGGTTAAAAAAACTTTATAAATACATTATCACTGTCAGGCTAGCAGTAGTAAGTGAATTCAGCTTCTTCCCGCTTTTTGGTGAATGTACATTTGAAATGATAAACTTTATTGTACATGTATATCCAATCCTTTAGAGACCTCTATCTGTGTCAGTATAGCCGGTATAAAAGACATTCGGCGTAACACACCAGCTTTGCAGGCACTCGATGGGACGGCAGCTGGCTATATCACGCCGAACGATTTGTTACACTTAATCTTTGCACATTTAACTGCAGTCATTGTTTAACCCTATCTAGACGGGAGGGGGGGGGGCTAAAAGTTTCATGGCCAAATTTGATGTCACGTAGCGTCTGAACGGCTAGAGCTAGTACGACCAAACTTCATGACTTTTCCTAGAATATTGTTGGCAACAATTCCATATTATTGGAATATGATAATAATTTTTTGTGTTGCCATGGTAACGGGTTTCATGGCATGGGACAGGCATTTTTTGCTAAATTTAGTAATTTTAGTTTCAACAATAGAATTTTATGGGTATTATGTCAAGTTCCAAATGGTTTCTAGTATTAATAACATCCCAGATAAGTTTATGTAAATTTTAAATTTAAAATGCATAACTTATGCTAATTTGGTGACGTCATTGGCCAAAATCCAAGATGGCGGACCGTATCATTAGAACAGGTATATACAGGTTTTTTTCCTTAAAATTTCAATTTCTTTTTACAAAAAAAGGTCATATGAACGTCTTTAGTCTGTTTACTCGGTTTATATTTAAAGGCATAGCTGTTTCTTGTTCTTTTCTGGGCTCGTGTCAGATACTTAGCGGTTGGTACGTCCACCAGTTCATTAGTCCTTTTGTACATCATGCACAGTCTGTTCATTCTTCGTTTGTATTTCAGTGACCCCAACTGTAGGTTTGGGATCAGCTGCATTCATACATACCTGCACCATGTGCACTCCGAGAGGCAGAGTTTTTGGTGCTATGGAGAGAAGAACGTTGTTTCTTGTCGTGCCTTGAGGCAGGATCTCATCCATCGCGTCTTCTGGAGTTGCCTGGTTGTGTTCTCTCACTGTCCAAAATACCTCCAGCTAGGACATCAGTTATTGAATTAATGAGCGAATGAATGAATGAATAAATAAATAAACAAATGAACGAATGAAGGAATGAATGAACGAATGAATGAATGAATGAATGAATGAATGAGTGAAAGTTTATTCCTGTGTCTTGTGACTCGCTGTGACTATCTTGATCATCCCAAATGGGCGATTATGCTAAATAAATAAAAAATCTAAAACAGAAGCGATAGAGGTACTGGTTATTTTGCATGTGTAATGTGCCAATGGTACTTTTAACTAACAAGATTTCATCCTATGAAACAATAATGTTTTTTTTATTATTGGACCCTGAATTACTTTGACGTTCGCAAAAGAAATTATGCTTTACATTCTTAAAGTTTTTATAAATACCTATACATGACTTAAATGTCACTTAAGACTGTTTTAAGCTACTTGAAATGTCACTGTATGCTTCACCTCAGTTAAGGATGGCTGTTTTACCTTTTGTGTTTGTTTGTTCGTTTGATTGTTTGATTGTTTTTTTTTTTAAACTCTTTCTTTTTATTGATATTTTCACATATATATTGGACAGAAAGTATGGCATGTATACAAAATAAAGAAACACATGTGTAAACCACAAAAGTAAAACACAAAATCTGGAGACAATGGTGTATGATCATTAAAAGAACATAATATAAGTGATGAGGAACCCTAGAAATCACAAACTATTAAAGAAACTAAGCTGAAAGGACACTATAAAGTTTACCCCACTTCCCAATATGTTTCTGAATCTTATCTTGTCTTTTTGCAATTATGTATTCCAATTTTTGAAAGTAAGAAATGTAAGAAATGAAACCTTGTAAGTCTAACCTTTTCTGGCGATATTTAAATATGTAATGTTTACCTAAAAGGATAATGAGATTAGACAGGGTTGGGCATCGATCGCTCAAGTCACCAAATATAACATTAAAAGCGTTCAAATGTAAATGATTATTGGTATGTTTGACAAGCCAGTCATTCACCTCAGACCAGAAATTAACAACTACACGACAATTCCAAAACAAATGAATGACTGACTCTTCCTCTTCATTACAGAGATAACACATAGGGGAGTCTACTAATTTCCATGTATATAGTGTTCTATTTGATGTCAAAAATTTAAAGAGTATCTTATATTGAAACATTTTGGTATGGGTGTCTATAGAAAGTTTATAAATTAAGCTGTAAACCTGTTTCCAGGGGATGGGTGTGTTAAAATATTCCTCCCAGGAGTGTTGTGTTTTATAAGACAGTTCCCTTAGCTTGGACTCTTCCATGAAAAAAGTATACAAATATTTATTAATATTTTTTTTCCAAAGCCAGGTTCTATCTCTACAAATCGGCACACACACACCTGTATAGCAATAGATTCCTGATAGAATAGATTCTTGTTTGATTGTTTGTTTGTTTGTTCTTACCTCATGGTCCTCATAACAGTCAACCAAGAGATCACCGTGCAAGTGAACATTTGCAGAACGATGTACTTGCAGTGGATCTGCAGTACTGCATTTAGAAATAGAAAAAAATCAAAACCAGAAAAGAACAGATCTAGAATGTCAGTTTGTCTGCGGAATATATATTTAAATTTTTGTTATTGGGTAAAGAATATTGAGAGCATTCCATGACAAATTGAAATTTATTTGCAACTTTATTTGGACAGAATGGGCAAAAGTATTTTGGTAAATCATAGTTGATTATCATCCTCGGTGAAGTTAAATAATATCTTCCTGTTTATGAGAGAAAACTTACCTCCTAGCATGAAAGTTCATCTGAGTTGGTAAAATACGGATTTAAGATTAAACTGTTCTCCAACTCAAGAAAAATGAATCAGCAGGAATTTTAAACAAAATCACTCAGTCTTTATCAGCTTTCTGACTCGATTAGATACTTAATTTTTACGCACGTGTGACGTCAGTACTAATCAAAGTTCGCCAGAAGTCGGTACCACCCCCCGTCCCGGTTGACAGAATCACTCGGTCTTCAGTGAAGGTTGGTATGCCCTAACGTTAATGGCTTTCATCGCTTAGCGAGAAGATTGAAGGAAGCCATGTACATCAGAGCATACCAATTTTGGCTGAAGATCTAGTGATTCGGTTGAAAATTCCTGGAAAATCATTTTTCTTGAGTAAGAGAACAATTTACATTTCAGTATGAATAAAACTTACCTTCGTAGTCCTTCGTGAATGTTGGCGGTGACATAACAGTCCTGGTCACCAGGAGGCGCTGTTTCTCCAGCCGTGTCGCTAATGATGCAGCCGGTGTTCAGAGCAGGACATGGTAATGAGTCAGGGTCGCCGGTATTCTCTGTAAGATACAGAATATGATGCATTACAACAAAGAATACATTAGGAATGCTTTATGTGCACTAAAAGAGATTCTCTATCAGTTAGATTTGCTTTGTCATGTTTTTAAGTTTCTCTTTTTTATGAGGTCTTCAAAAATATATTAAACGTTAAAAAGATTACAGGCAAACGTGTCACATACAAAATAAGTAACACACACCTGAACACTTGAGTTTGAATCATGTTGAACATTTTGTTTCTGTATCTTTCAAAGTTGAAAAGTGCATAAAATATTTTTTTTTACAGTCATTGTCTCTTGTTAGACAATGCCAGTTTTGAACAATTTTAAATGCCAACAAAGGCACAAAATGATAGAAATACCTTTCCCATAGAGAGACACTTCCCTAAGAGAAGGTCTGACTCCACTCTGCGTGTTGACTTTGAGCCTCAGGTAGCGACCAACAAACTCAGGTGAGAAATACTGAGGCATGGGGATCCCAGATAAAACCTCTGCTGAGCTGTAGGCAGTCTCCCACACATAGGGACTGGTGGTAGAGCTGGAACATAGAAACAGAAATCTGAGTACAAAATCTCAAATGTACCAGATCAATCTTGATGTACATTTTAACAGTATGTAGATAAATGGATTGTGTTTGCTAATTTAGTACAGATTAGCGGAGGATTGGTTAGGAAGGTCATAATACTCTCCATAAGTAAAGGTTTGAATCAAGCAGCACTTAAAGAACTGCATCATATTGAACGGATACGGATAGACGTATAAACGAACAAACAAACAAACAAACAAACAAACAAACAAACAGGCAAACAGACAAACACATACATACACACATACATATACATAACTTTCATTCATCCATTCATTCATTCATTCATTCAATCAATCATCCACACTCACATGCACATGCTTGATACACACACACACGCGCGCTCGCATACACACACACACACAGGCACACCACACACATACACACACTCACCACACACACACACACACACACACAGGCACACCACACACATACACACACTCACCACACACACACACACACACAGACACACACACACACACACACACACACACATGCATCACACGCACACACACACACACACATCACATACACATCATACAAACACACACACCACACACAAATCACACACAAACACACATCACACACACACACACACACACACACACACACACACACACACACACACACACACACACACACACACAACACATACACACGCATAGTGATGTAGAGAGACATGTAGCAGGATAAGTTTTACCTTTCCATGACAAAGCTGACAACATCATGGACAACATCACCATTATTAGCGATGGTCGCTCTGTGAATCCTGAAGCTAGTCTGTAGATCCACTATCACCCAATGTTCATAACCCTCTGGCTGGTCCAGAGGCTCCCAAACTGTAGCAGAGTCGCCGTCAAACATGTTCTCAGCAAAGTCCACAGTAGAGGAACCACTACTCTCTTCTCCTATCCAGGTTGTGCTGATGTTCAACCATCGCGACGCTGTAGCAGACAAAAAAAAATCACATAATGTGGCGTCGTGTGGCGTAGTGGTTAGAGCGTTCTTTGCTCAAGCAAGGAGACGTGGGTTCGATCACAGGGGCATGTCTGAACATGCGCCCCGACATTGTGCCCTTGGGAAATATAAAGGCACTTTACATATATCCCCCCTCAATTACAGGGACATGTCTCTAACGGCAGTTGTCTTCAGGTAGCGGACGAGAGCAGCGCCAGGCCGGCTGGCGTGATTTTTTTTCATTTATTTATTTCGGATTGGTCGTCCAATCACAACACTTAAGGGTCTTATCCATTTTGACACTGGTCTAAAAGGAGTGGAACTTTTGTCTGCTATGAAAGACAGAAAGTACTGGAGACAAAACTTCACACGCTTCACCTCAGAAGAGGACGAGTTAAGAAGAAGAAGAAGATTTATTTCGGCTTACAAAGAAGCCAAGGTGTCCTAACTCGTCAAAGACTATTTCTAAGGAACACCCTGGGGGAAAAGATGAAAATCGTTAGACATACATGGGAATACATATTAAAAGTTACATACTTAGTGAGATATACAGTTACATACAATAGTGTAATAATATATACATACATTTTTTAAATACTATAATACAATGGAAGAGTCCTAGTATATACATAGTTGCCGAGGTAATATGTTAATCGGGATTGATACAGATGTAATATATTAAACAGCCTATGGATCCCGAAGGGATTTCCATACTTTAGCTTTAAAAGAAGAAAGTGTAGGGGCTGATTTCATGACAATTGGGAGGGAGTTCCATAAAAGTGTGGCTCAGTGAAAGAAGGCGTTATGTGTTCTATAACTGTTGGGGATTTGTACACAAAGGTTATTTCCATTTCTGAGGGGGTATACTTATCTAGAATGTATGGCGGATGTGCTGGTAATAGGTAAAATGTTAGCTAGGTGGGGCGGGCAGTGACCATTCTTCAGTTTGTACAGAGTGGTTACTGTTTGGAACTGACGACGGAAAATAAGCGGCTGGCGAGATGGCGTGATCAAGTAAAGAATTATTTTATTACTTTTAACACCATCACGGTAGTCATTGTACTATCACGGTAATCACGATGTGCATATGACTGAGCATCATACATGTTTTATTTATTTATTTATTTATTACGATTGACCACATACATAAAATACATGGAGGGCATGGTGGAACAGGTGCACCTAAGTGCACCTTTTCAAGGCCACCCTGCCCACATGTATTTCCTTTTAGTACATTTATCGTCAATGTGCTTGTCAAGCAAATAAAATTCTCTTACTGGTGCGTGAAATCTGTACTCATAATGTTCGGCTGAGTGTTACAGGCAGTAGAGTACTGGTAGATTTGCTATGTTGTCACTGTTTGCATACATGACCAAACATAATGTTACCGTACATACATTTCTCATTGAGGCGATTCTCAAGTAATTCTCCTTTACAAAATCAGCTTTTCAGAAATAATTGATATGATTGAACCTGCGTAACATGTATAGGCGTTGAAAACGTATTACATTTTATAATAGATTGCCCGACCTATGATGAAAATTGACGAAAATTGTTACAATATATTACATGTAAGACCAATATAACACTATCCCATACAAAGACAGAGATATTCTATATGTTTCTATCGTGCCCTGTCAACATTTCCACTTATGTAGGCCAATTTGAACACAATTCAATGACAAAACGAGAAAACGTATATAATTCCTGACACAATTTATTACTACATTGTATTAATAGAGTTAGATTAGTATAATTATTGTCTCTCTTTTGTTATACATTGTTTATGAATTAGACCAGATTCCTATTACAGTAAGTAGAACTGTTAGATATTCTCAACACCACCATATGTGTATGTTAACACCACAAACTATGTATGTATATTTTGCCATACGTTGTACCCGCTACATTTGTTGCGCAATAAAGTTCTTCTGTTAAGTGCTTTTTACAAGGATACCTTTCCAAGGTGACCACCCGGGGGACCGAATAAAAGTGGTCACCTTGGACAGGCGGTATCCTTGAGAATGGTTGCCTCACAACAATTGTTTCCACGTCGAGATGTTTTAATGTTAAATGATGTAAGCATCTTCAGTTTTCCGGTAAATGCATGTGGGGAGGGTGGCACATGAAACAATTAACGTCGAACAAAAAACATCGTCTAGCAGTCGAGGCAAATTAGTTATCATAAAGAGTCAACATGATTAAAAAAAAGTGGTAACCATTGGCAGGTATCTGGCCTTCAGCGGACCAAACTCATGGCAGGTTGCGTTGGCCAGGTGGTCACCTTTTACAAGTTGCAATTGCTGAATTGTTGCATAAATGGGGAAAAATTTTGGGACCGAAAAAAAGCGGTCACCAGAGCTTAAAGAGGTGGCAGGTTTGACTGTAGGTCTAGTTATGACTTGAGTGGAAATGAATAAATAAATGAATAAACTTCCCTAGCTGATTCATACGATCTGTACTATAATTACTGTGTGTGTGTGTATGTGTGTGTGTGTGTGTGCGCGCGCGCGTGTGTGTGTGTGTGTGCGTGTGTGTCTCTGTGTGTGTGCGTGTGTACGTACCCGCGTTCGTGTAATTAACCACTAACCTACAATATTGACAACAGTGAGTGAAAAAAATATACATGAAATCATAAACAAGTTACAGTACCAGTGGATTTAGTAGCCTAATAGCTGTTCTAAATCTGTACTAATTAATTAAAGGTATTGAAGGGTTAAAAATCATTCATACAAAATTATTTGTGAAGAGAGAAGAAACGGACTCACTTGTGCATTTGCCGAAGTTCCCATCGTGTGAGCATGCGCACACTGTACATGTCCACTGACTGTTCAGCTGTCCCTGCTGACAGGAGCAAACCTGGTCCAGATCTGGTTTACAGGGGGAACAGCCAGCATGGTGAACTATCAGTACAGCTACGATATATGCTGTAGGTAAGGAAAAAGCAACATCAAGATAAACTTAAGGCTGTTTCCCGACATCGTGGGGTCGTGTGGTGTAGCGGTAGCGTGTCTGGCTCAGAACTAAGAAGTTCTGGTTTTGAAACCTTCATTGACATGCCACCGATCTTGTGCCATTAATGGGAAGTGCACTTTACACGACTTTCCTCACTTGACTCAGGTGAAAATGATTACCTAGCTTCGGTTAGGGATGTTCCTCGGATATAGGACGTTAAATGGACGTCCTGGTTTGGGAGAGCCACACGTACGTATACATCCAAGAAACCACAAACCAAAAAGGGGTAGGGACATGTCCCTGTATATATACGATGGTCCAAATTCTACTATGTAATATTTCGTTACAGGAAAAATAGTTTGAGAGTCACACTAATGGAGATCCCAAACAACAAACAAACAAACAAACAAACAAACAAACAAACAGACCAACTCTAGAAAAAACTTCCGATCCTAGCTTTTTTTGGTGCGGACCCCCGGAAGGGACATATTTTTTAATGGTTCTAGCTCCATGATCTGACACCCGAGTGATGAAACATTGTACAATCGGTTTTCTAACAAGACCATTGAAAATGTAACTGTCGCCATGCAAGTTTTTTTTTGTTAACTGTCCTGTACAAGTTGGATCACTAGAAATTGGTAAATTCTACAAAAGAAGGGAAAGACAAAATAAGAGAATCCCCACCCATTGACCCTATGTATTTCCTTGAGGCCTAACGTAGTCTCATTTCATCTCATCTCCAAAAAGGTAATTATTTTTCTTGTCGACTTAATTCATTTTTTTCTGTCCTTCAGCAGCAGCGGCTATTTGGTAGTAATATATGCTTTGAGTTTTACAAACTAGACAACCCCCTGCTATGCCACGATTTTCTCAACAGACAAGAAAGGCATAATTGACATCGATGTATTGTGTATATCATTATCGGGAACTGCAGACATAGCCTCTACCAGGCTTGAGGGCACGGCTGAAAATAGTAGAAATTGGCCAAATAGAGAGATAACACACCGAGGGAGTTTAGCCATTCAGTTTACAGTTGTGGGCCGGCAAACTGTAAACTGGATGGCTAAACTCCCTCGGCGTGTTATCTGTCCATTTGGCCAATTTCTATTATTTCCAGCCGCGCCCTCAAGCCTGGTAGAGGCTACTGCAGACATACCGACATAAAAAAGACCAAATTTCTTAAAAAAAAAACTTCCCAGGATAGATTAGGGTAGGGCCTAGAAAAAAATGTGTTTCTTGTTTCAGTCTTGAAAACAATAGATATATAGGGATCATCTTTTTTATTAGACGTTGTCAACCTCTAGTGATCCAACTTATACAATTTATTCAGCAAAGTAAAACTTGTATGAAAACACTTATATATATTTTCAATATCAACGTTGGAAAACCGATTAATATTAATTACCGTGCTGTGTTTCGTCACTAAGGGAGCTAGAATGCATCAATCAGCCCAAGGACATTATATACGTAATGTCCTTGATCAGCTGAAAACATTTATATCCTTTGCAGGGATCCACCCAAAAATCCTACAGTGGTCGGTTTTTAATGGACCTATATACCATTATTAGGTCACATATTGTTTACCTGTTCTAAAGAACATTCTAGAACGGTCAGTTAAAGAATAAAGATCATTTCAAAGTTTTCAAAGTAAGGTATGTCTGATTTTTTGCTGCGTCTAGTTGTGTTGACACAGCATTAAATGCCGTATGGGTGATTTAGTTGTGACATTAGACGAAAGAAGTACTGTATTAAAAGTCTATAATATTAGGCTAACGCTACACAAACACACACCACGCTACGCACCCCTGTACAATATAAACGTCGATTGACCGGCATTCATTGAGGTAAACAAACTGTAACGTAATAATGGTATAGGTCCATTGTAAGGGTCGGTTGGGAAACAGGAAATACAACATTTTCCTAGGCCTAATGAAAAGGTAAACATGTTGGGGTCTGGACACATACATCATTAAAATGCCCTATAATCGCAAATCCGCCGGTATTCTTTGGAAAATTTTGCATGTGATCCTGTGATACTTAAATTTCAAGAATGTCATTTTACTGTATACCAGTGTAACATTTCAGTAGTACATTTACGTACATTAACACCACAAATGAAAAATTGTTGCACCCACAGTCAAAAAATTAGATGCACAGCTTCATTTTGGGTGCACAGAAGGGCATATGCATGCTTTTTTATAAGCTCTCTAGGTCAAATTTTGCTGTAATAGTTTCACGTACCTGCTAGTAACTCCATGATGAATATCTTCATTTGCTTTTCGTACAGAAACAGCAGAAAGAGTTGCTGGCCTATGTGCCAGCTGGCATGTCAAGGAGCAACAATGATGCCAGGTAGTTGTGACATAAAAACACAGAGGGATCATCCAAGTGTTAGTTAATTGCAATTTGGATAAAAGCGTAAACAGCGTGCGTCATATACTTGTGATTAGCCCACTCGATTGTAACACTTTATCAAAGACTTGTGATATCCCTTATTATTTGAATGGTTATGATATAGATATGTTAGGTTTTATTCGACATTAGGTCTTATTCAACACACTTATTCTATTGTTGTTACTCTCTTTATGTAGTTTGCCATACATTGTACCTTGTGCAATTTTCGTGCAATAAAGTTCTATAAAATGGAGCTTGCAGAAGGTAACATGTACAGTACGTGTTAGGGCCCGCCCATTTTAGCACCAAGGACATCGCCCTTAGGCGCTAAACGAACCGCTGTAATTGGCCGAGTCTGAGCGCTGTACCAAGGCTTGGAGAGGCAAGCGAACTCATATAACGTCCGCGCGCGCATTGATTTTGGCCTGTTACTAGAAAAAAAAACCAAGAAATTCCGCTTCCTGTAACTATGACCATAGAGTCAGGACAGTGCTGCAAATCGTCAGATTGACGTGAAACCCGTAACACGAAGAAAGTGTCTATTGACAGGACCATCCTGTCAATAACAGAAAATTCTTCACTGTCCACTGTTCCACCTGATTTATTGCTGTTTTGATGATGAATAAAAGACTTTTTGCTTGTTACACTGTGTCACCTCATTCAATTTGTGTCCTAACATTTGTCGTCTCTTAGTATATTTCTAATCTCTACGCATCTTGTTTTTTAGGGCCCTTCTTGTTTTTTTTCGCCCTCTCGCATTAGATTTAGGGTCTCCAAAGGACGTCATCCATAAAATTTACTTGGTGTGGCCTAATGTATATACATGTTCCGTATGGACTAGGGACCGCCCGTTTCAGCACCAAGGACATAGCCTTGAAATATCCTTCCACATGCCGAAATCATATTCGCTTTACCGAGGTTAACCGGTACGGAGAGCTATAGAAAAACGCACACCTTAATAGATTCAAAAGGAACCTATACTATAAATTCTTCCCACAACGACACTTCTGGTAGACAGCAAAAGGAACGGGGGTTGTACGAATGAGCTCCGCGGGGATGGACGATTGAGGTTTCTCCGCGGAGTTGCATTTGCATGTACGTGAGCTGTTACATGCGGCCTTTAAGCTGAACCCATTGCGGGGTGCTACGTCAGTTTGTTTCCAAGAAGCCCCTTTCTCTTCTCACTCGAGAACTGTTGAGCTTGGCAGACAGGCTCCAAGACTGTTGTAGTCTGCATACCGGTACATTTTTAAAACATTTTCCTTGTACGTTTTTTTTTTGGGGGGGGTTAGTAGACTGGATTGTGTGAGGTACTTGCACATGGTAATGTCTGTCCTAATAAAGTGAATTTAGCAAAAATAAACACTATGTAAATTATTAAAACGCATGCACTTTCATACTGGGAAATATATACATTTATAGTCAATAGTGATACATGTACACATCCTGAAAACGTATTATGGCTGATACCTGTCTATGACGACCGCGCCTTTTTCGATCGTGTTGATTATTGATAATAATTAATCATGCTATAACGGCCAGACTGCTGGATGAGGTTTTCTTTGACATCAATTGTTCCATGTGTGCCACCCTCTCCACATGCATTCACCACAGATCCTAAAGATTTTTTTTACAGTATTTGACATTATGTTTTGAGGCGACCACCTGCCCAAGGTGACCACTTTTCTTCGGTCCCCTGGGTGGTCGCCTTGGGCAGGTTTGTTTTGCAGCTAAATATAGTGACCAGATTATGGAATGCTGAATAAGGTTTGGACGCATGGGATTCTGTGGCTAGCTTACTCTGGAAAATCAATAATGCAATCTATTCATTTTGTAACATATTGTACTTCAAGTTTCTAATAAATTAAAACTTCAGAACAAAGTTCATATCAGGACAATCTTCTTTATTTCTGCAACTAGAGCCAGAGCTATACACAAATGCATAACTAAGACAAATGCAACAAACAAAAATGGCTTGATCAAAGAAATGTTAGTAACAGAACCAAAGTTTCAAATGGCACCTACCTACCTACCTACCCATGCTGTATGGTAATGTCCTTCAAGATTAAACATTAGGCCACAGCAAGTAAATTTTATGAATGAAATCCTCCACAGATTCCAAATGTACGTAGTGTGATAGGGCGAAAAAGGTGGGCAAAAAAGAAACAAGATTCTATTTTCAGATTTTGACTTCATAAACCTTGTTGAACAAGAAATGATACCTATACTGTACTCAGTTTACTGCCAACATCCATTTGGCACTAAAACAAGTTGAAAAATAAAAGTTTTCAATCATTGTACAAATGGTTTTGTACTCGTATTAGTGGAAAAGCACATATACAAAGCCACTATCACATATAAAAGGAACGAAATACATCACTGCATCAAAGCCTTGAGCAAAGTAAAGACAAAACAATAAATCAGAGCCTTGTCTTGTCTACACTCTTCATATGTATCTGCCATCCATTTTTGCCCATTTTCGGGACAATTTTTTTCCAAAATCCGCTTTTTTTTTTGATTTGCAAATAAAAATAAAAATTCAGAATCAACTGCAAAATGCTCGTATTTTGCCCTGAACAATTGAAAACAGTCCTTTTTATCCTAGTTGTTACAGTTATTCCATCTTTCAATGCAATGGTATGATTAAAAGTTTAAAATTAGTTCTTTAAGTTTTGAACCAGCCTGTTGTGTTGACTTCATGGCTCCTATCGTACCATTCTGTGCCATAATAGGATGCCTAGTCCTGTTTTTTTTTTGCCCGCCCGCTTCATTTTTTTCTAGAAAAATCCGTTAACCAAGAAATTAAATTGGTGTGGCCTAACTATAAAATATGTTGGAAACAGCATGTAGTAGAATATTAATAGGAAAACATCATGTAGTAGAATACAAATAACAACACAATAAGAAATTTATCAATTTACAACTAACAACACTATTTCAACCACCTATGGCAACCATTATAGGTTTTAAAAAAAACTAGCAAATAGTATAATACAATGTACTAGATTATGATACAAGATCATAGCATTGGATGTTCATCCGTCTAAGTAAAACACAAAATGCCCTACTCTGTAGCAGAACAGTTTTAGTTATCTAAGGCTAGATATACATTTGCATCCTCAATCTTATCATTGCTAATACTATGTAAGAACATACTACTAACTGGGTGAACTGCATGTTTCAAAGTAACAAAAACATTCCATAAAAGATACTAAAGAAAACTACCTGCAAGCACTTCTATATAGTTCTTTCTGTGTTATTTCCTATGCTATGCCACATCTTACTACTTTCTCAAAACTTAAGGTATCACAAATCTTCCAATCTACAAGTGTGAATGCGGCTATTGCAATGATTAACTTGACTCAATACTAATAGACAGCTGCAGTCTTACAGTTACACTATAGTATCTTCCCTGTGTGACATTGAAAGTTAGGATTTATATCTCCAAACTCAAATTAAAACTCAGGTTTTGTATTCCTCTTACTTGTAGGGTATCTCACAAATGAGTTTGCATGTCAGCCTTCAGCTCAAAACAATTGCCTATTAGTTAACATCATAATCATGTTATTATCATATGATAAAGTAAACTTATGATATGATAAACTAAGAGATGATTACATTTTCAGAGCCGGTGCATCTGTGTCGAGATAGGGCAGACTTGGAGGCTGCAGAATAATTACACTGGTCACACTTGTAGGTTCTTTTCCCTGTATGGTCATGTATGTTGGGACAAGAGATACTTGTGAGCTGTCCTGTACCCACATTCTTTACACTTGTAGGGTTGTTTACCTGTATTGGGTTCTCATGTGTCGGGATAAGTCAGATTTTAGAGCTGCCCTGCATCCGCACTCCTCACACATGTAGCCTTTTCTCCTGAATGAGTTTTTATATGTTTGGATAAGTAACCCCTTACAGCCGTCCTGTATCCACACTCCCCACACTTGAAGGATTTGTCACTACCGTGTTTTACTAAATGGGCATTCAAGTGGGTTTTCCGTGCAGCAGAATAGTCACACTGGTCACACTTGTAGGGTTTTTCTCCTGTATGCGTTCTCATGTGTACGGTTAAGTCAGACTTCCGATTTGCCCTGTATCCACACTTCTTACACATGTAGGGTTTCTCACCGGTGTGTGTTAATTTATGGTCATCTAAGGTATTTTTCTGTGCAGCAGAATAGTCACACTGTTCACACTTGTAGGGTTTTTCTCCTGTATGTGTCCTCATGTGTCGGGATAAGTCAGACTTCTGAGTTGCCCTGAGCCCACACTCTCCACACATGTAGAGTTTTTCACCAGTGTGTTTTATGAGATGGCGATCCAATCTGCCTTTCTGTGCGGTAGAATAGTCACACTGGTCACACTTGTAGGGTTTTTCTCCTGTATGGGTTCTCATATGTTGTGCTAAGTGGGCCTTCTGAGCTGTCCTATACCCACATTTTTCACATAGGAAAGGTTTCTCACAAGCGTTATTGGAGTTGACATTTTGTGCTTTCATCTGGTCTTCAACGTTGCTTACTTCGCTGTCACAGTACACTTGAGAAACGCCAATGGGAGACCTACTGTAGCACTTCTGATGACCAACGCCAGTAGGAGACCCAGGTCCTGCCATGTAATAACCTGGCGAGAAAAGACAGAAATTATTATCAACAAATGGATAGTAAAATTATAAAAATATAACAATGAATTGTGCAATCTTGGTCTTCAGCATCACTTGTTTTGCCTACGTAACCTGTATAATATCATATCGAACGTAGGTTTGGTGTCGCCCCCCTCCCCCCAACATCAAATGATTCCACCATATTCACTTCCCCAAAATGTCTATAAAATCGTCTAGTGCGGTCCTTCTTTGGCGAAAATGGTCCC